TTCAAGGCAAGTTTTCACATTTTGAAACGAATACAGAAACTAATACAGATAACAACTGACCAGAATACCAAAAGCGTTACCTGAATCCCAAGTATCTCAGCATCTTCAGCAAGAAACAGAGTCATGTGACTAGTGAGATTAAACGGCGCCGTAAGCCACCTGCCCGGAGGCACATTGAGCTGCCCACCGCCTTTCTTCCCCAGCTTAGAAATAGCCAGCACCGCCTTCTCAAACGCCTCAGTGTTCAAAGTCACCCCATCGCCCACTGCCCCGAAATCCGTCAAATTGAAAGCCACCGGCCGCAGCTTCGGCATCTCCCTCGCCGAAGCTCGCCGGAATATCGAAAACCCATTTACAATGTTCCTTTGCCACACGAAAACTGAGGCGAAAGCGGCGATCCAGAGCACGGTGAAGAGGGTTTTGTGGGAGGATAAGAAGGCGGGGCACCAGCGCTTCAGGTCCAGCCTCTGGTGGTGGAACCGCCCTAGTGGCAAAGTCTCCACCATGGTCAATGCGACCTTGAAGCACCGTAAAGCTGTGATATTTCCGAGAAATAGGCTATTGGGTTCTGCCGATTCGACTCGGAAAATCGAGTGGAGGTGGGGATGGGAGGTTGGGGAAATGGATGAGCTTGATTTCTGAGGACATGGGATTTCTGGGTTTTGGTAAAAAGGGGTTGGACTGGACGAGATTGGGTGAGACGTCGAATGTTGGTGGAGATTGAGAATGGGATGGATTTGGTTTCAGAAATTGGGAAGTTTGAGTTCAAATCAAGGGGAAGGTTGTTGCTCTCAGCAAACCAGAAAACAAAGTTTGGAAATTCGCAGTGATGCAAGTGACAATGGAACAGTTGATCTCATGGAAAATTTGATGCTGCTTGTATCAGGGAGGCCACGTGTGCCAAATTTTAGGATTATATGCTCCTATATTTTGTTGCCAAATCCAAATGCTTGAGGTCTTAGGTTCCTACGGTGTGATATTATTATTCATTGTAAAGGAAAAGTATTAGGTTCGATTTTCGTTAAAAACGAATTTGAATCATATTTAGTACTACAACGTGGTATTCCTCTTCATTGTAAGTGATAGGTCTTAAGTTCGATTTTTGTCAAAAACGAATTTGAACCACAATATTGCTAAATCACTTCTCCTTTTAATGTAGATAATATCGTTTGTTAAAAAAATACTGGAAAATTGTTGATGAATTTCCTTTATTAGGTCAACAATTAGCATGGAGGCAAATGCTTAGGTAATCTCAAAAATGTGTTATTTAATAAGAACTTTTTCTTTGTCATTTGTATATTTTAGGGTGTAAAGTTAAGAAATGTGTCTATTTTATAGTATGAATGAAATAATATTACAGGTGGTAGCTTCACAAAAATAAAAAAAAAATTTATTGATTTTCTCACTTATTACGTAAGAGAAATATTAAGCGACAAGATTACATTGACACGTGTATCATACACACTCATATATCAAATACTTAATAAATTTTATTAATAAATAAAACACGTATTATAAACAAGTGAGATTAAAAACATCATATTGCGAAATGACAATAAATTATTGATTATGTCTGAAGGCGTCGCATTTAGTTTTTTCAAATTCATTGTAATAGATTGCCATTAAATTTGTGTATTAATTTATGGTTCAAACTCAGTCTCAAAACTCATTATTCTGGCCTTCACAATAGAATGCAAATCGAATGTCTCTTTTGCTGCAATGTGAAGTAATAACATTGCAGAAATATATACATACATATATATATATATATATATATCTACAAATTATATATATATGACAAGAAGTCGAGTGGTGACAGATTTACAATAGGGGTGTGCTATCCACATATCTCATTTTACTTCTTACAATTTATTAATTTATATTCGTTAATTTTCTTCAATTCATTTGATCTGATGGCCGAAAATTATAAGGGTGTGTGAATATCTCACCCCTTTACAATATTCATATGATTCCTTGGTCGCTACAAGAAAGCAATGTATGGATCACCCACACTACCTAACACACTCAACTGGTTAACGATTAATTATAGTGTAATATATGTATACCAAAATTTTGACATATATTTTCAAACAAAACAGTTGAGCTGTTGCATAACGTTCTTCTAACTGCTGTGCATGGTAAACTTGAATAAAACAAATGTCATTAGTTACATTTTCTTTTGCTCTGATCGCATTGTGACAAAATATTTGTGTAGATATTTCTTAGCATGAAATAAACGTACCATGTATAATTTATGAAAGTGAAATTTATACCCATGGTTAAGGTTGAGAAAAAGTAGAGGGATGTGTGAATTGAGTTTGAAGCTAGATGTAAACAAGACTTATGATAGGGGTGAAGTGAAATTTCTTAAAAGGAGACGATGCACAAAATGGGATTTAATTGCGGATGGATGGAGTTAGTGACGTGATGTGCCTCTTCGATGTCTCTTTCAGTGGTAATTAATGGTTGCCCTAGAAAGTTCTTTATTCCCTAAAGAGGATTGAGACAAGGGGACTACTTATCACCCTACCTCTTCCTCTTAGTGAGGTTCTTTCTAGAAATATCAGCATTTGCTACTATCCTTAATTTGGTGCAGGGAATCAAACTGAGTCGTAGCGGGCCTGTGATTACTCACATGTTTTTCGCCGATGATTCCCTATTTCTTATGAAAGCTACCAGGGAGAATTGTAGAAAGTTGTACAAACTGTTTGATGACTTTTGCACAACCTCAAGACAACGAATAATTTTGACAAGTCCTTGGTGTTTTTCAGTCCTAAAGATTTCTCACGTTACTACTAGTTGAGTTTGAAAAAGTTTCTAAAAAGTTTCTAAGCAGACAGTCGAGCTTGAGACCTGAGAGAACAAGTACTAAAAATGCAGACTGCGATGAGCCGAAAGAAAATGTTAGTCGATTCCAGGCTCAAGCGCAGCACGAGCGTCGTTCTCAGCGTGGGAAGGATGTTTGTTTAGATAACGCAAACTCCGCCATTGGGAAGAAGTCACTTTCTTTTCTCCTCAAGAAAGTGTTTGTTTGTAGAAGTGGGTTTGCACCAGTTACTGCTGCTCCTGGTCTAAGAGATCCAGTCCCTGAGTCTAGGATGGAGAAGGTATACATCTATTATACAACAAATATATATACACATATATATATATATATATGAGGGACGGACTTAAGTTGTCAGATTGTCAACCTAGACCACACATCAAGTGACAAAAATTCATGCAACAATTGCAATTAAGAGAATGATTCCCTATATTATAGATAGGCCAAGGCACATTTTTGGTTCATGTAGTTTTCACAAAGTTCAACTTTCGTCCCTGTATTTTCAGTTGTATCGAATTTCGTCACACCTGTTGTTTGGTAACTTTTGTTAGTTTGTTGTACGAAATGGTTATGTGCACTACACGCTAGAAGGTAAATTTGATGGATTTTGTACTAGAATTGAATCAGCAGAAGTTGAAGGATGTTGTCATAGTGGAACAATTTGCCAACTATAGAGACAAAATTTGATGCAATTGAATATAAATGTAGCCAAGTGAAACTACCAATAGTATATTGAACTTTTATTAATTTTTTAGACGAAATTGCCATGTATACAGCTAGATAAAATTGACGAAATCCATAAGAAGAAATCAATAGAATGTCCTTGGATGTTGAAACGATTTTCAATACTTCAGAAGAAGATATATCTCCTTTTTTTATTTCTTAACATTTTTTGTTTTGGGTCAAAGCTAGATGCTGAAGGCAAATACTTCAGAAGAAGATATATCCCCAAAGTTCAAGTAGTTCAACAATGTCCATGAAAAAGTACTTGAAAAAGTCGGGCGATGATGATGAAGGAAGTAAATGGGACAAGACTGATTCTGAATGTAAGCAGTTAAAGCATGATTAGGACATGGATTAAGTGGCTGTTAGTGCAAAGACATATGCTTTGGAAAGTTATTATTTTATTCACATTTTTTCTTGGTTGCAGATATCGTTCTAGAGATATAGATTTACCATTACTTGTACGACTTCTTTTAGCTTCAGTTCAAACAATATTCAGGGTAAGTTTTTTTATGTAGCTTCGTTAATTAACTAACTTTAACTTTAATATGCAGATTGCTGTCAATCCTAGCCGCAAAGTTGATCGGTTGCGCGCCAGAGTTTGCTTTTGCAATGCTTCAAATGTGACGTTTTGCGTGGATATAAATAATATATGGAATTCCATTCATTTGGCCTGTGTTTGATTGGAAATTTGGAACGTAATTATTCAAAAAAAAATATAACGAAATAAATCAACCGTATATCTTTCATAATTTCATCATAAAAAAGAGTATCATCTTTCGTTTTTTCTTTCTGTCATTTTTCCCCTTTGCATGGCAGATGGAGACTGTTTAAACTCTTATTATTTATATGGTGTGCTGCATGATATTGTGATAAAAGTTAGTTTAAAATAGCTATATCAAAATAACGCGATGAACAAATATGTTAATACATTATTAGTAATTTTTTTAAGATTAATGTTAGAAATACGATCTATTTAAATCATGTTTTATAAGTCATATGATGTGGTTGTTGATAGTTGATTTTTTTTTTGTTTTTTTACAAAATATTCTAATGCTAATGTGGTATTTGTATTAAAGATTAATCTAATCCGACGCTCCACAAAAAATCTACCATTAATCAAAGTTTTCCCCATTAATAGATATTTTAATCCCAATCCTACCAAGTAATAAAATCCAACAAAAAATAAAAATAAAAATCTGTAAAAAAAAGGAGTAATAAAACTTAAAAAATCGAATAAACAATAATGGGAGAGAGAGAAGACCGATAAAAAGATGTCATCTTTTCGGCCAAGCCGGTGACTTTAATGGTCCAAACCCAATTCACAATCTTGATTTTTATTGGGTATTGTTGGAAATTTGGAATTAGGGTTGGTGGAGGAAGTGTGTGATTGAAAGTGAGTGGGCTTTCAGGTTTTGGGGATTTTATTTTTTTGGTGGGAAGCAGCCAATGCCATTGGGGTTGACGAGAGTTCTTCTGGAGTAACTGTGGGTGTTGCAATTTCGAGTTCCCAATTCCCGGTAGATACTTCATGTCGTGGGCTGGAGCAGAAGATACTTTCCTTTCCACTTCTCTTGCAACCTATCTCGACAGTATACTCTCTCTCTCTCTCTCGATCTACTTTAAAGTGATTGAAAATTGGGTTTGGTGATTTTTCTGCTGTTTTTGTATGTTTTAGCTGTTAATTGCCTTACAGAGTTTTTTTGAAGTATTTTGTTGCTGTAATATTTGTTGATTTGAAAAGGGTTTGAAGGCTGCTGCTTTACCGTTCGATTTGCAGATTCCATGTTGCATGTGCTGCTGTATTGCAATTTTTTAAATTCATGTATGAGGTACAAGGAAGATAAACGAGTAAAGCTTCCAACTTTAGGTCACTGACTCTCTGCACTGAGTAACTCTAGTGCTGTTTAATTTCAAGTGCTGAATTGTGCATTGGGATATAGGTGTGGGAACCTTTTGTCCCACTTTCTTAGAATCGAAATGTATCTTTGATACATAAGCAAAAGTAGAAATGGTAGTTATATTTTCTTAAAGAAGAAGGTGATGATGAATCAAGAGATTTGAATAAGAAATGAGAGCCAGACATTCGGGGTATTAGAAGTGCTCGCAGCATCACTTTGTGTATTTCCGTCGTTGAATGGCTAGTTTGAGAAAATGGAAATCCAAGCCGTATTCATAAGGCCTCAAGATTCAGTCCAGTAATAAATTTGACTCAGACATTAATTTCAAGCTTGATAGTTCAACATTATATATTTGTGTGGGCTGGTAGTATGTGTGGTTGACAAAAGATATTTAATTCATTACAAAGTACTTCACTTATTAGGAATTTATATTTATTTTTTCAGAAAAGCTTCTTGTATTATTGCGAGATGGACGAAAGTTGTTGGGATTGCTACGATCTTTTGATCAGTTTGGTAATACTAATATATCACTCCACGTAGCTTACTGAGTTCTCATTAGCTTTACTCTTATAATCTCTATTGAAACTATTGCTAACGATGGGTGGTTTTCTTTCATCTGCATAGCTAATGTTGTTCTTGAAGGCGCATGTGAACGAGTAATTGTGGGTGACCTTTATTGTGACATCCCATTAGGTCTGTATGTTATCCGTGGGGAGAATGTCGTCTTAATTGGGGAGCTGGTATATTGCATTCTCTTCCAGTTCTGTTAGACTTGATGACTGTTAATATTTTTGGAATAGTTTATCAGTTTTTTTTTAATTGAATTCTTGTTATCCGCTTTACAGGAATTGGATAAGGAAGAGCTTCCCCCGCATATGACTTTGGTACCAGAAGCTGAGATAAAAAGGGTAAGTCTGTATATTCATCATTTAAAATTTAAATTGAAAATTCCAATCTGCAATGCTTATGGTGTTAGCATTAGGTCATATTGAATGCAATAAATAGATGAAGAAAACTCGGTGAATGCATCTGTGCCGTAGATATAATTCCTTGCACCTATCCGAAATTGTCCTGCCACGGGTAACAAGGAGCTTCGTTGTGTACTGTGCTATTTTTGATTGGGAATAATAGTTCACTTTGGTTCTTCCCAAAGCAAGCACCTCGTGTGTTGGCCGGATGTTGCAACCTTTCAATTAAATTCTTTCCTTTCAAGTTTCCATGTATAAATGCATTTAAGTAGTAAAAGATGCAATCTTTGTATGTTCTTATTCTGGTTGCTGGGTTAAATTGTTCTTTGATATTGTTCTCTTCTGTTCAGGCTCAGAAAGCAGAGAGGGATGCAACAGATTTAAAGGCTCCATGAGAAAAAGAATGGAGTTTCTCGATTTTGATTAACTTGCTCTCCCATTTTATTGTGGGTTCAGGCCATGTCTGCAAGTTTTAGTGCGACAGTGACCCAATACTTTCGCCTAAATATGAGCGCAAAATAGAATAGAAACTGTATGAGTTCTGAGCGGTCATCAACAAAGGGGAGAAGGGAAGTTGTGTTGTGGGTCTAGTAGATGCGAGGCAATGTCGACTATCTTCCCACGTTTCTTTTGGATTTGATTGATGCGTGCAAGCATGGTCTCGGGTTCTTTGGAAGTGATTCGGGTTTTAGATTTTCAATTGCATCTCTGTCGAACATGCTTGTTTTGATTTTCCATGGGTTATTACCTGTTGTGGAGCTTCACTTTTCATGGCACATTCGGTGTTATTTATATTTGTAAGATTGTAATTCTTGTTTAATCCATGTTATATTTTAGTCATAAGATCTGTTGAAGCCAAAATTCAGTATGTTTTTCGCAAATGATCAAAGATTTGATCATCAAATCCCTCCAATATTTAGTACAAAATCTCGAAATTTGACACGGTCCGATGGATCAGCTTTTCATTCATGCAATCTGAAGTTTGAACAATCCTTAGCTACTTCGAATCCATAAACATAAGCATGTAAAAACTCAGAAGTAACATCGTGCTAGTACAATCATAATATTGCAGCACCAAGGGCTCATGCATTATTCAGGGAAGGAAAGCAACGTAACGAGAGGCTCGTAACTAGGAAAGCCAGAAACAAGGTCGGAGCGTTTTGCCAACTCAAAGTCCTGGATACGAAATGCAGGTGCACAAGTACATCCCACAAGAGAGTAGTGAGTACTGGTTTGATACTGAGATGCTTTTATAAAAAGTGGGTATAAAAAAAAGCTGAGCTCAAAAAAGTGTTTGGTAAACACTTAAAAACAGTTTATTTTCATAGTTTTAAGTGAAAAAAAGCTGAAAACGTGAAGTAGCAAAAATGAGCTTATTCTCACAGTACAGCAAAAATAGTTTTTTTTCAAAGCACAGCAATACCAAACCAGCTCTAAGTCTCGGCATCCCCAGAGCGGCCTTGAGCAACGCCCCATCTGGTGAAATGCTGTCGTCCTTTGTTGGATGGGAACCAAACCACACATTTGGTAATCTGACAAAATGATATAAAAAGAGAGTAAAAGGGAGCTAATATCTTTGGACCAGAACAACATCGACCCTGGGTTGGTGAGCTTGGGCCTCCATTGAAGGATAAATCTGAACGGCTGAACTTCAAACGCATCGTGGAGGGTTTTGGTCTCGATTTTCATGCAGGGTTGATGTACCACAACTTTTTTTTGAGAGAAATCACAATCTCATGGGTTTAGAAATTAAATATATAATCTTGAAAGCCATGTTGTAAGTGCTTCCATTCTGCATATGAAGTATGAAATACAAGGCTTAGACATCCATGGATGGGGTTGGGTGGTTAGGATGGTGGCTGTCAGAGCTGGTGTGGTTGGACTCCTTTGCTGGCTGGGCTGTTTAATTTTACGGGTCGTCATGTTTTAACGGGTTGGGTAATGCTTGGTAGTTCAAATTCTTAAACCAAATTTTGTAAACCAAATGATATGGTTGTTGATAATTGAATTATTACTTAAGTATTTATTAACATGCTTATTTTTTATTAGTGACACATTATTTAGTTTGCAAATTTGATTTAAAATTTCGGTCTCCCAAGCATTATCTTTTTTCTTTTGCATTTCCTTGTGGGACAATTCTTAGGGGACAAGTTATAGACAAAATGTGCAAACTAAATGATGTGCCCAATAGAAATGAGCATGTTTGTCAACGCTTAAAAAATTATCCAATCGTCAACTTTCATGTCATTTAATTTACAAAATTTAATTTCCCTAGCATTACCCTTCCTTGTGTCTTTCTTTTTTCTCCTCTTGCCTAGATGATTGTTTTATAGGCAAAGTGCCTTTCAACCTAACAAACCTACCAAGACATTTTCTTTGACAATTTTGTAAAGGTAATCATACTTGGTTGCTCACATTTATAAGTGCGTTTACACCATTTACAACAATATATCTTCTGTGTAATTGTTAATACCAAGTTTATTAACCAAATTTTATTGGTAAAATAATATGACAGTTTTATTTAGTTCAATGATGAGCTAGTATAAAACCTCTTTTATCTATAAAATGTAGCTTTGTTCTTTGGCAGTTTTGAAAGCTTGGTAAATGACAAGTCTTTAAAACAAATTCATGTGATACATGTATGTTTAGTCAAGGAACATGTATATACATGATTGAATCTCTCTGTTGGTATTCCTAGCTAGAAAAAATAAAATTATAAAGGTTCCTTCTCTGTACATCTAAATTTAAAAAGAAAAAGAAAAACCCAAGAACTAAGAACCAAACCTTCATTCAGAATAGAAATATCACTTAATATATTCAGTATTTTTCACTAAATTCCATTTTTCTTCCCTTGTTCCATTCCAACACCCTTTCTCTCTCTCTCCCCTACCCTCTTTTTAACTCACCTATTTATATGCATGGTAAGGAGAAAAACAAAACACTTCCTGAATTATCAATGTTCACTTGTTTGCATTAGCTTCTGTGGGTTCGCTCATCAGCCCTTTTAATTTCTCACCTTTGTAAGAAAAACCCATTTGTCTTGAAGTATGCATTGAAGTATACCTAGCAAGCGCATATGTATATGCAATATGTATGCATGCCTGCATGCTTCTCAAACTCGTACCTCTTCAATCCTCCTAATGGCTTCCCTTAAATCAAGCCTTTGCTCAGGCTCACTCGTAGTGCAATCAGCTCCAACCATCAGAAGCTGCAGCATTTGATCCACTGAATCTGTCTCACTTGCTATCTCTGGGTCTAGCAACTCTTGCTCTCTTTGCTCAGCCATGGCTGATTGGACCCACTGAACAACGTCGGTTCCGCCTTTCCCGTTGCTCAGATACTGAGATGGGAACTTCCCGGTGAGGATTTCAAGGATCACAATTCCAAGGCAGTATACATCGGCTTTCGGAGATATTTGCTGGGATTCTATGTACTCTGGGGTCCTAAAAGCGAACATGGATTGTGCAGCATTGCTAGGGTTTATGAGGGGATGTAAGGCATAGTCGTTGAGGACGGGCTCATAGTCTTCTTTTAGTAGAATGTTGCTGGACTTTAGGTTTCCATGGGGCAGGTCATAGGATGCAAACTCTGTGTGGATGAATCCCATTCCACATGCAATTCCTTTAATTATCTGCAGACGGGTTGACCAATTCAGCTCCGAATGAGAAATTCCACGATCACCTTCAAATTTAAAATTGTGCATATATTTATCAGTCTAGTTAGATTTTTATGAGCTACAAACTTATAGATGTATACCACCAAGAAACAAAAATTGAAGTTTGTAGCCCTATTTTGTTGTGTTCGTCTAGTTAGAAGTGTCTTTCATTGAACAATTTTATATTATTAGACCATCAACCTAAATCGTCGATAAGGTGAATTCTAATTAATAGTATAGTTGCATAACATTTCATATTCTAATAAGAAGCAGAACCCTAATTTTCATTACATTCTCCCACATCATCCCTAATAGGGAAAAGAAGTTTGGTATTAGTTACCAATCTCCATTACCCGGTACATTATTCAGATTTGGTTGATAGTCTACTGATATTTGATAATGTCATCTAATCATTAACAATGTATCAAGAATTGTAGATAAGAAGTCCAAACCATTGATTAGAATGATTACGTTGCCCCTAGTCTAATTTTCATTAGATTTGTCATACAAGGTAAAAATGGTTTGTTACTAGATAGCAATCTATAATATTTGGTATATATATGTGTTATTTGGCCGATAATTTACTTATATATAATTAATAATATCGAGCAGTCCCAAATATTGTAGATTGGTACCCAATATTAGTCAACTATGTATCAAGTAGTGTAGATGATACTCGTTACCAGTGAATCAAACAAACATGGTTCTAACATATAAACAGACCTAAGTTAAGATTAATTGAGCAAACTTGGACAAACTCATACCATGCAGAACGTATAGCAAGCTGCCCTTAGGAATGTATTCTGAGATCAACAGCTTCTCCTCTCTCCTATAATGGTAAGCCAAAGGAGTCAATATATTCTTGTGTCTTAATCTTCCAAACCTTCTCATCTCAGCATCAAACCCATCTCTCCCCAACCTATTCATCTCCCTCATCCTCTTCACTACCACCGAAAACCCATTAGACATCACCGCCTTGTAAGCTGATCCCAACCCTCCATTCCCTAAAACCTCCGCCGCTGCCTTCATCAAATCCGGCAATCCAAACGTACCCTTTTCCTCATTCACCATCAAAAGCTCGTTCATGCCGTTTTTCCCATGATTGGACCCCTTCTTCGAGTCCCCGCCACCTTTTCTGCTATTGCTTTGGTTGACCTCCGTGCTACGATTTGACTCATTCGTGCTTCTCACGCTGCGATTTGTGGTGCTTGGAACATGAACGTCAACCACCTGCTCCTGTACATTACGATGGTCATCCATGATCTGTTCTTTGCCGAGCACGTTGAAATCGTCCTCGGGTTTTCGCCTCTTCTTTGTGAGCAGCACGTAAAGCAGGAGTAGAACCATGATAGATGCAATGACACTGATGACTATGATGATGGTTTTTGATCTTTTATCTTCCTCTTTCTTAGATGGAGTCGAGTGCGGCGTCGAGGGTGGTGACTTTGATGGGGATTCTGGTGGAGGAGATGACGGTGTTGGAGGCGGCCCGCATGATAACTTGAGTAGCCCGCCACATAGTCCTTCGTTTCCTTCAAACGCCTTGGGGTCGAATTTCGATAGGGTTTCCGGGATAGGACCTTGTAGTTTGTTTTTCGAAAAGTCGAGTGAGTTCAATACTCCTGATTTTAAATTCGGGATAGGGCCTGTGAATTGGTTTTTCTCCAAGTGAAGTTGTTCTAGCTTGGTCAATTGGGTCAATGACTCTGGGATTTTTCCTGTGAAATTGTTACCGTTGAGGTAAATTTTCTTCAACGACGTCAAATTGGAAAAGTAGTCTTTTGGGATTTCACCGGAGAAGTCATTTCCCGCCAAAAACAAGGATTTCAATGCACCAAGCTTGTGGAAATCTGGAATCAGACCTGAGAATTTGTTGTTCATGATATTAATGGTTCTGAGGGTAGGAATGTCTTTCAATGCATCAATGTCAATATTTCCGGAGAGACCCATGTTGGGGAAATGGAGACCAGTGATGACATCTTCGTTGCAGACAATGCCAGCCCATTTGTCGTTACACGGGGAGGTGTTTGGTTCCCAGTTGTCCAAGGGATTGTCTGCAGGAGAGAGAGAATTCTTGAGCTTCAAAAGAGCTTCTTGTTCTTGTGACAAGGAGAGGGAGAGGTGAGGGGAGGAGAGGAAGATGAGGAGGAAAAGGAACGAGCGAACAGCGACCATTTGACAGGCCGGAAGGGGGACAATGTGGTGTCGTTGTCTCCACCGGATAGAAAACAAGCGCTGTTCGAGATGGGGTGGTGGTGTTGTGGGTGAGGGTTCGGTGTGTTTGTTTTTCATCAATGTAGGGTGTACGAGAGGGGAGGGGAAGGACGATGAGGGGAAGGAGTTGGGTGTGACATGTTTAGGTGGGTGGGGTGTATTGGGGGGATGGAGATTGCCAGATTTTACAAGACAATCTAAGAATAGAGATTCAGCACAGAAGAGAGAGGGCTGTATTTGCCTCTTGAGGGAGATTCAGAGAGAGAGAGAGAGAGAGAGAGAGAGAGAGAGAGGTGGAGGTTGTGGAACTTGCGTTGACCTTTTCAGCCACTGGATGCCCCACATTTCAGGACTTCAAATTCCAAAAATTACACACAAAAACATTCTTTTCATTCATTCCTTTCAGTTGGGTAGAGTTGGTGGAAGGAGACATCATATTCGCGGTGCCACCCTTTCACGATTGATCACAAGTGAACGGGTGTTGTGTAAATAATACTACATAGCCAATAGTAGAAACTAGATTTTCCATCTAGATTTTGATCACTAAGTACCGGCGCTATCTGCAAGAGAATGCATGCAATGTGGAATATGGACGGACAACGAGTTCATGTGTGAAATTGGTTGTGCTACGTTGCCGTGTCTCTATTATTACACCACGATTTTCTCAATTTGATTAACTTCGTTTAAGAAGAGAAACAAGATTCATATGTTTTCCACATAGTACTACAGTTTAGTGATATTCCTCTTCATTTTTAAGTGAAAGGTTTTAGGTTCGATTCTCATCAAAAACAAATTTGAAAAACAGCAACCCTCTCCCTTAGTGTAAATAATATTTTTTGTTAAAAAAAAAAACAATAAATTTTATCTCTAAAGTAGCTATTAATTGTTATTTGGTCACAAATTATTTAAATATAGACTCTTGCAACTCTTATTTTTTAGATAAAAACCTACTTAATTCTAAACATCCAGATTCCAAATAAATCCAAATTTGAAAAAGACTGCTAAGTAGAAAAGTAATTGAATTATTGTTACAAAATATTTACAACTTGTGCCACAATTTTCAAACTCTAGTGGTGGATTCGAAAAATCAAACACCGAATCGAACTCGAAAAAATCGAACTAAAACAAACAAACCGAACCGAACCAAAAACTATTGGTCAGTTTTAGTTTTGGTGATTCAAAAATCGACCCACTCCCCCATTTCTGTCTGCGAATTCAAACTCAAAACGCAGTTAACCACTGTTGCTCTCCTCTCATGTGTCTCTTTCTTGTTAGGTTAACTTTTTCCGGTGCCTATTTGAATTAGTATTTTGTTTTTAATATCAACCGGGTGGGATTAAGCATCAAATGTTAGAAGCTTGAGGAATAAGCAACGACTAATGAGGGTATGGAAATGGAAGTTACAGGTTCCAACCGACGGGCTGACGCGGAAAGAGAGAGAGTCGGTGAGGAAGGAGTTGACGGAGGAACATACAGCGAAGTCATTGCTGACAGCAAAGCCCACGGAGCATTGCATTTCCCATTCGGTTCAAGGGGAAAGAGAAAAGAGGAAGAAAAACAAAATATTTTAGGACACAGATTTTCTGTTGTGTTTTTTGTTTTAATGACTCCGGTCATCCAACATCGGCATTTATTTTCTAGTTTGATTTGTAAAGGTTTTATCCTTGTGGAACCCCAACCTTTTCTATGGCCTGTGACATTGTAAGAAACTTGAAGCATTTTCCTTGTATTCTCTCGGAGAGCTGCTTGGAATTTCTGCATTGATTTCAGAAACATATATATATCACTACTTGTATCTGCTTTGGATATTCTGTAGTCTGTTGTGAAGGGGGTCGAGAAGGGCGCGACGAAGATCTAGGAGACTTTCCATGACAGAACAGTGGACTCGGAAGTAGCAGTTGAGGAACAAGTTGGAAATATAGTCAGAGAAACTCATATTGACCTGCAGGAAAACTTAGTACTCTCTTTCTGCTAGCATTGAAAAAATATAGTCACTGTGATTAAATTTTTCATGGAAATAATGAGAAAACCCTCAGATTCGAATGTTTTGGGACATTCTTGTACCAAATTACATTTTTTTACTACGGAAGAAACTTCCGGAGATCGAAATCTAAGTAAATCCCTTTGCAATCGGACATAAATTAGTATCGAAATGCAAGTTTTAAGCCTTCTGGAAGCACTACGGTTGTGAGAATGGCAAGGATGTTTCAAATGGGAAAGTACACAACAATTTCATCCAAAAGTAAAAAACACATTTTTTAACTTTTAATTGTAACCATATATATCATTCTTCCTGTTGAAATGTACTGGGTTCACCCACTGTAAAAAAGAGATCCCAAAACAGTAACATTATAACAGTAAGAATTTCTCGTCTAATCGCTGTCTAGCTGTGCGTATTTGATGCCATGAACAAAATCCTACATACACTAATCTTATTCTACAAGATTACACAATTCGTACGGTCAAGATTTACGATCCGCCATCTCCGCCACAACATCCACGACAGCAGAAGCCACAGCAGTTGAGGCAGCCGGCACATGCCAGACCAGTGCAGAGCTGGGTGAGTCCGTTTGCACATTGAGGATTTACCTTGGAGCAACAATGGATGCAGGCCATGCAACAACATCTGTACCACATTGAGCCACAGCAACTCGAAGCTGCTCTCACAAAAATTTCAGCAGCTTCCGGGAGTTTTGGTTCTTCGGATCCAGGAGGAATGTTCTCGGCTGTTGCCACTAAGTTGCCAAAGCCAACAGATAGTGTTGGAAGCAACGTCGGTTTTTCAGAGTCTTTCGTCTCGTTTGTGCGGTTTTTCTTTGATGTCTGTTATGATGTTTATTGAATAATCAATCAGAAAGATGATCCATTATATTATATCAATACGAAAGTACACACTTTCATCTATTTAAGTTGCAATCATTTTGGAAATATAAAAAAATGTTCAAAAAAGACATTCTATCACACTATACGGTGAAGAATAAGTTAGAAAGGAACACTAATTTTGCATGACGAAATTGTTATGGACTTGATGATAACCACACGATATGTTAACAATTGTCCCAGCAGATGAACAAGGCAGAATTTAGTTCTGTTTTAGAAAAATGCTTACCTCTTGTGGTTCAGATAGGTCTTTGTGAAGTATCACCATGCGCATATACTCACTCACGACATTGGTCTGCATGCTCAGTTTAGCGACCTGCAAATAGTAGGATATAACATCAGAATATTTGTAATTACTATGCAGTGGAAACTGATTTGTTAAATTAAGTGGCATATGGCACAACTTCGGAATCAAGGACCTGGGGTAAGATTTTCATTTTGAATTTTTGGTTTAGAGATAGAGAGGAAATACGTGGAGGAAAAGAGAGATAGAGGAGGTCGAGGGAGGTGGTCATCTTTTTGTAACCTGTCTACATTTTAATTTTTAGGGTAGGGGAATGTAGTGAAGCAAACAACAAACCTTATCCTCAAGCTCTTTGTTATCTCCATACCATGCCCGAGCAGTCAGCAACTCAATCTGTCCTTTTGCACATACCTGTACAGAAAAGGAAAAATTGTCAAGAAACAGGAAATAAGGTACGGTCCTGGCAATGACTTCTTGTAAAATTCGCAAGACAGGTGGATTTATTTTAATTGGAATAAGAACGTAGAGAACCCTAACTTGTACTGAAATGGCGAAATGAGTCATTGGTGTGATCATGCATGAGTTCTGAAACAGATATTTTGTACGGGACTAAGCAACTACAACTTAAACCAAGATAAAATGAAACGTGAACTGGAACCATACAAGCATGGAAAGAACTGTACAATCCAGTAGGAGGTAACACAAAAAACACCATCATTCAGTTCACGAAAATACAGAACTGGCAAAGCCAACTCAATAGCAAAACTCATCAAAATTATTCTAAAAAGATTTATGAGCAGAAGTCAAACTGTAGTTATGCTCACAAGTGAAAGGCTTAGTAGTGCCCTTACCCTGTCAAGAGGTATGTCCTTTGCATCTTGTAACTTCAAATCAATCTCGATATTAGACATATCGGGTAGAAGGCCTTTAGCTTTAAGTGAGCTGGGAAACTTTCCTCGGAATTTGCCAGATACAGTTAATGGACTCTCAGATGAGAGGTCTGGAATATGGGAAGGGAACACCTAATGCATAAATTGCAGCGTTGTCATGGAACCTCCAAATAAATTGCTAAAGTTGATGTAAGTTGGATAAATTGTCCAAAACAATACAGCGAGTAAGTCTATGTTTAATGTTGGTTTCGCGTTGTAAATGCAAAAGGTCCATAAACTTTTAAAACAGAATCATACCTCAACATCATCAAGATCATCCAGTGTTTCAAGGGTTATATTTGTAAGAATCACAGATGAGGCTCTGGTAAATAAGCTCTGCATTTGAGACTCGACCAAATCTGAAAACAAAAAAGAATAAAGATTAAGGATTTGATAACTACAGCTAAAAGAAGTCAGCATAAATTCCTGATATACCTTTAACATATTTGTTCATGGCTATATGACAACAGAAGGTGAATCATATAATTTGTATGATTTGAAGATCAAGTTTCTAGAAGCCTAGGGCTATTAAAGCTTTTTATTTGACAAAACAGACCAAGATTCATACAAGCGCCAAGGTACAGTATTGGTATGTCTTATAAAATATCAGATACTTCATATCAGCTGAAATACAAAACATATGTCTCCACGATATAAAATCCATTCGAGAAGAAAACAGTGAACTAACCTAAACTAACCTATATCATACACAGCATCATATTGGCCCCTGCCAATCATTGCAAGCATCCGCAGGAAATAATGGTTGCAGAATGTACCTGGAATATTTCAGATAAAAGTTAGCCAGAAGGTAGAGCATACAATAGTTGATTTTTCTCCTTTAAATGCAAGTGTACTAAAAACAATGTGTGCTTGATGATAAATAAATGTGACTTTATGCTGGCTCAACTGATATTAAATCATCAGAAAGAGTTTAAAAAATACTGGCCTGATCTCTAATGGCACAAGCAAAAACCCTTACCTATTCCAAAAGTGTATATACGTGGAGCTATAGGACCTGCTTCTGTAAGACGATTTTTCATGACATCACAAATGTGCCTCTCATCTTGAACAGACCCATCAGTAACAAGGAAGATTAGAGGAAATGAACCCCGAGTATTGGATAGCATCTCTATTGCCTAAATCAAAGCGACAAAAGAAATTTATTAAACCTCAAATGATGTCAGGGGTTAAAATTTACAAAGGTAAACTGAGAAATATGCATATCCACACACCCACACACACAGACACACACATCCAGATGCAGAATAATAGACCATTAAAAATGGTTACTCCTTAAAATTGTCATTTTTGACTGCTATAAATTACCTTAAGAGATAGCCATGTTCTTATGCATGAAAGAATCACAAAGAAACATAAATGGTAAATTTTAATGGCAGAATTCACAAAGAGGCAAAGGAGCATGAGAAGATACTTGGTTAAGGGGAGGCAATATATCTGTATTGCCGCCAGCAACAAGATTTATGCCAATCCACTCAATGGCCCTTTCAACAGCCTCCTTGGTAACCGATTTCATTGATGTGGAAGATAAAAAAGTCTGTCCATTAAAAGCTATAATGCAAAACGAATCTTCTGGATGAAGCTTTGAGAGGGCTGCAGACAGTACATTCTTAACATCATCAAGTGGCTTTCCCTGCATACTTCCACTAATATCAACAACAAACACTACATCCCTTCTGAAAACCTGAAAGACCAATTAGGAGGGGTAAGAATAACGTAAATTAAAAAATCAGAACACAAAGGGTAAGAAATATTCAAAGAGAACTGCATAAGTTGTATTCATTATAACAGCAACCTTCCTGCTCTGCTCGTTTATTGGTAGAAGATAGACAGAGAAGATTTCTCTTTGATCAATGTCATGCATGGGCGGTGACTGCACGAGAACAGCACCAAGTGTATGACTCGACAAGACCTAGAAATGCACAAATATATTAGAATGACAAAAACATTGTATAATATGCCCACATGGAGCTGAAAAGATTTCTCAAATATGGTCAAGCATCTAGCTGGAAATAAAAATGCATGCAAGCCTTACCGTGTATGAGAAATTAAAGTTGGTATTTGACCAATTCAGAACATCTGCCTCGTACAGAAAACCCAATTTCCCAACTTGGCTTATTCCCCGTAATTCCTGGAAAGTCAAAGCAAAAAATATAAAAAGGTTGCCACCTTGCTTACAAAAAATGATACGAAAGCCCTCAGAGTTATGATCAAAGCTGCACCTTCAAGGAATGACTAACTGTCTTGCACGAAACTTCAGTTCCAACGCAAGAGTTCACGTTTAATTGGATCTTTTCTTTTTTCAGGTACTTCTTTCCCGGGGGGATGACATACTCCGGAAAAGTGAATGGTACATTCAAAGAGAAATCGCCATTTGAATACGATAATTTCTGAGACCAACTCATTTTGATTGAGATATTGGCTCCTCCGTTGACCTTGAATAAAACAAGAAGAGTACATTCCATAGAAAAGAGCAAGAATTAAAATACACGACTCCGAATGCTGATAAAAATAGCAAACTGTACAAACAAAAAGTATGTCGATTCTTCGTAAGTTATTATTACCTGAGCTGTTGTTGATGTGAATATATGAGGTTTGCCTCTGAGAAAGCCTCCCTCTGCATTGGCCATCTTCTCCATCTCCTTCTCATCTTCCAAATGACTGAGTTGAGTATGGTACGATTTACCGTTTACGTCGACCTCAACACCTAGAATTGAACCCTGTTAGCACAAATATATGATTTGCTTAACAAGAGGGATCAAAATCAACACACCCAAAAATTCAATCAATTTCAAAATATTTCCAAATTTCAGTAACATTATCATCATTAAATTCAAAACTCCAACAGATATTTCAACAAATCAGAGACTCCAAAGGAAATAAATTAACAGACTGAATACAAAAATGCAAAAAAGATAACTTTTTTTCGAATTTACGCACCTGTTCACCCATAGGAATGGCAACGCGGCAACCGCAGCCCTTGCTAGGCTTTACGCAATGGACCCTCCACGACCCGGAAAGCCGAATAAAGGCGGTGTCCATGTAGCAATCGACCTCGAGCTCGACCCGGTTCATCGTCAGCGGAATGAGGGCCGGGGGGTCACACCTTCCGTGCACGTGGGGCTGGTAGCTGGGGATATCCGGGTTGTCGACGATGGTCGGGTCGGAGATGACCGCGTAGACCATCGGCGCCTTAGGGAGGAACGCGCACGACGTCACTTTGTCCATCGACGGCGGCGGCTTCGGCGGCGACACCGCTCGATCCTTCCCGAAGTATAGTCGTTTGGAGAGCTTGAGACCGTCATCCACGGCTTTGGAGAAATCCTCAGCCATTTCGGACGATAAAATGGGGAATTTCGGATCCGAGAACTTGTGGGTCTGCAGGAAATCGGATGTTATAGCGAATGGGAGTCGATGGGCGATCGCAGAATTAGACGAGCGAGAGAGAGCGAGACAGAGAGGGAGATGCGTGTGACCGTTGGGGAACGCTGGGGCTTTGTCTTTCTTTTTAAAATATTCACAAGGCGTTATTGTTTTTCGATGCGCTCGAAAACCAGCTGGCGGATTGACGAGTGAAATCGCGACGCGTGGAGGAACGGCGGGGCATTTGGATCTGGTGGTTCGCGGAGGGCGCAGGGGAGCATGTTTGGCGCGTTGTGATGCGCGGGTATTGGCTGGAAATTGAGAGCGTTGGTGAATGAGAAGCACGTGATCGTGGCTTTTGGATAAGAAGGTTAATCTGACTTTTACGGGTGATTACGTGGATGATTAAGTGGGTAATTAGAGAGCGAGATTGATTAGGACATGGGTCCTTGTTTTCTAAAATGCTATGAGGACATGTACACGTGGAGCGTTGAGGTGACAAACCAGAATGTCGTCCTTCTGTCACTAACCATGTTTTAGTGGGCGGACGGTTTATGAAGTTGAGATCTTAAAAAATTATAAACAAGAGGTCAATATCTTAAATATTGACTAATTATGTTTTGACAAAAAAAAAAAGAAAATTAAAAATATAAACGAGTAAAAATGAGAGTCGAATTCTTAAATTTTTGACAAATATCATCTCTACTAATTAATAAAACACTTATTGTTAACCAAAATCTTATAAAATGATCAGTTTAACTCTCTAATTAAAACAGAACATAAATAAGAAATATGAGGTAAAAATGTATTTCACACAACCAAATTTTGCTTTTTTTTTTTTCTTTTCAAAGTCTCACATACATGTAATTCTAATATATCTCTAATTAAAAAAAAAAAAAGGCTTCCCACTCCCACATTCTTTGTCACTATCTTCCTCTCTCCTTCTATTTCAAAAATAAAAATAAAAAATAAAAAAAAATTCTCACACACTTTGTATGTATCCATATGCTAGTATAAGATAAAAGCAAGATACGAGAAAAGTTAAAGCAAAAAATAATGATTTGTTTACTTATTTATGGGCGGATCAAAGACAAAAGTGAAATTGTTTTTTTTCTTTGGAGTCTTGACCTGAACGAAAAGGTTTCATCTTTTCTAACATGTAAAATAGTTATCTAATTTCACAAGTTCAGTTTCATTATTCGTAAGTCCATCAATCACGAACTACCAAATGCCAATGATCGATTTTAGTTCATATCCTAATCCACCCGCCAAGCAAGGTCTATGTCTAATTATCTCAAGGTCAAACACACAAACCAAGTCCAACACACTAAAAGGGTGCAAAGGTGAGTATAGCCAATGGGAGACGTACTTTAATCTGTTTATACATCCGAGTTCGAATTCTTATTCTACATTTTAAATTACTTTAAAACATAAACTGTTGATAAAAGGAGTAAAAGAAAACCTAAGAAGAGTTAGAAAAGTGACTAAAAAAATACATGAAATACTTAGAGTTAACTGAAAATTTGGCACAAAACCGAGCGCAATGACGTGTTCTAAAATTCATACAAACGACCCCACTTAGTAAGATAAGGTTTTGTTATCATTGTTGCTAGATCAGAAGAACGTGTGCAGAAGCAACAATATTCCCATCGAAAATGCCAATTAAAAAAAATCTGTATATATATTCGATTATTTGGAATTTGGTAATATGAGTAGGGTAATGCATTACACACACAATGAAAATCGTAAACCCATATACATCATGACTTGAAAATCCTATTCTTTCAATCCTGAATATCTAATCCTACCTCCCTCCGCAGAATATCTGAAATCTCGCTTCCCTTCTAATCTGTTGCGGTGCTTTCCCAAACAACCCTCAATCTCGGGGGTTAAGCAAACTAACCAAAACTGAAGAGAAGGTCTCGATCAACGAAGCTACAAGCCTACAACAAAAGATTAAACATGGGACACCACAGGACTTCACGTTGTCCACAGTAATTGTGGTTGTGATCAACTGGTTGCCATTTTCTCCAACGATCAAAGTTTGCGCTCAATTTCTAGGTAGACCTTCGCCGGTGACATCTCCCCTTCTTTGGGATAAAGGCCTTTAGTCCTGGACCTGAGCCATGGAGTCCTTTTGAGGGATTTGATTAGAACTTCGGGATCAGTTACACTGGACTAGATTTGTGCAAAAAGAATTTCATTCCATGTATCTGGAACACCAGGTAAACACCAATGCAGACAATCTTGCACGCCTGGTTTTGCTGTTTTGCTGAACCGGGATATATGACCCTCATCCCTGACCTTGGATAGAGCTGTTATATCCAAGAGCTTAACCCCTGTTCCCTTCGCTGCACCTGCAGCATATGAGTCACCAGACACGTCTTGCAATACTTCCTTCCTATTGACATAGGAGTGGTGTTATCACAGCTTCCTCCCGTGTTCCATTCACCGCCGACAAAATGCCTAGGTGAGATGGTCCGGTAGAAAGCTTTGAGACCTGGATACTTTGGGAGCTGCGAGTTCACCCAATTAATGATACTGTGGACTGTCACATTCTTGGCCTTCCAAATCACAGCTATCTTCCTGTCAGTGTTTCGGACACCCCCAAGATGCATCACCCAGCGGTTAGCTTTAAGCTTTCCGCGGTTCCAGTGGTGCCCTGTATTGAGGACCAGGACATTAAGTTTATGAATATATTGGCGCAAGAATGCGGGTGGCTGATCAAGGTGCATGGCATAATGAGTGGCTGGGTTTGAAGCCTCAATAGGCTGCAGATCACAGAGGGTTGATGACCAGGAATAGAGGATGGTAGTGTTGGTGCTTGGGAACCGATATGCCCACCCACTAGGGCGGACATCACCACGTGCTTGGACTATCCCGTATTCCGGCCCCACATCTATAACATCATGCCTCTCCTTACCACCTGTGATCATGCACATTAAAGACTGGAACTGCTGCCGGCCCAATGAATCTCCAACAAAAGCTAGAGTTTTGTGTTGCATCCTGAATACAATAATACAATACTCAAATTATCAAAATATGTCAGGCTATAGTCGCTATGCCAAACAAAGAAGAAAGATAAGCAAATAAATCACCCAAAGGGGTTAAAACCTACAGAAAATAAAGTTAAAAACCTTAAATTCTTCAAATAGATGAACGGACAAGAGAAATTAAAATGCAAGGTAGCTTATGGGGTGTCCATTATTTGGAAACTGCTGCAAGCCTTAGCAAGATCAAGTGAAGAAAGACTAATGGTCTATGAAGCACAGAATCCTCGATTGATACTTACGTGCACGAAATAAGAGACCTACTAACCAAAACAACACAACTTGAGAAATTCATTAACTTGAGCCCAGAATGGATTTAATATATAGGAGAAACAATCATTATAGATCAGACTTATGCATACTAGGAGGCTAAGGTCACATCACACCAGATTCAAGATAGTAATCAAATGGAACCTTGCACATGACTGAAACTGTTTAATTTTAACATTTTAATACCTTTTCAAGAACTTAGAGCCTTCAAATTCTTCCATTTGACAATCTTTTGGCTGCCATGAAACCTTCTCATAGGAAAAATCTGTGCGCTGTGTCATCCGGCAAGACCACATACTTGACAGCCATTGCTTACAGCCATGCCCAGAATACAGCGGCTTCTTATGGTCCACAATCCATTTTCCCTTCGCATAATCGCAGACTGGAGCTATTATCAGATAAATAACAGTCAGTAATATAATCACGAAAGCTAATAATAACAAATTGGTCTAGGTAGATACTTGTGATCAAGCTTTCCAAGGATTTAGAAAGAAATACAAGACATTTAAAAACAAAAATTAAAACATGATCTATCATATAACTTAATAGATATTATTACCTAATGATGTCCCTAGCTGCACATTTTGCTTTTGTACATCTGAATTATTTTCCTCCGCTTTTTCTTTCTGTCTTGCATCAACTGCCTTGCCATCTATTTCCGCTTCCTGAACTTCTTTATGTTCTTCTCTTTCTTTTGACCCACTTGTTAAAACCCCTGCACCATAATAACATACAATTCAAGTCCATACTATTTGATGATGTTTAAAGTATATAAATGACATCGAGATTGTACTGTTAAAAAGAGAAATAGAATTTCGGGGATGGATGTAAAAAGAAAACAATATCTTACCACTCTTCTCAACCTGGTTTGATGCTATATCATTACTAATCTCTTCACTTTCGTCAGAGCCTTGTTCAGAACCTGGTGGAGCTCCGAGTCGTAATTCTTCTTTTACAGTATCATTTTGGGCAAATGTTGCTACCCCATTGCCCACATCTATTTCTTGTTCTGATAGCACAGATTTATCTACATAATCATCCCTTATCTCTGCAACAAACACCAAAGGGAAAATATGAATAAGGTATTGAAAGAAAACCAACAACGTTTGCCTAAAGGAAAATAAATACACAACTAGAGACAAACCTGAACCCAACTGCAAACGGGTTTGGGGCGGTACCAAGTTAGTAAAAATCTGGGTTTTCTCCCATCCCCATATAAGAATGGTGGTGCACATTAGAACAATGGTAAAAAGAGAGAGCTGTTTACCCTTCAGTCCATAAAAGCTTCCTTTCATTCTATATACACAATACAAGACCAAACAAGTATGTTAGAACTTAAAGCTCATACAACTTTTACAGTTCCTAGCCATCAAAATGTACCTGCATAAAACAAATCACAAGATAACAAAAAAAATCTCCCGTCTTCCGACTTGGATTCGCTCTATTCCCGCACAAGAACACGCATTCACACGCATCGAATCGATGAAAGAGCCTAAGAAGCATCATGAATGAATGGTTTAAATTGATAAACAGTAATCTAACAAGTTCCCCCACCTCAAACAAACTGATTGCTGAAACAAAATCCTAACACATGAAGGCTAAAGCAATGATGGGTTTGTTCTAACTTCTACAAAATTTCGATTTCGTAGCTCAAACAATAGCATTCTTTCATTTCCCATCAATCCATCAAAACCCAACATTTCCATTTTCTCGGTACCACACACAAACCCAAAACAGAAAAACGAATCCAAAAACGAAAAATCTCGGATCTGAAAATGGTTTCGTTTCCTGTATGCAAGTAGCTAAATTGCGAAAAATATAAATTAAAGATTGTAATTTTAGATGAATCCGAGTAGAGGGTTTGGATTACCTGAGACGAAAACAGCCCAAAAATGCCACCAATTCTTCCCAGAATTGGATTACCGAATGCGGAAATGGTTGAGGATGTATAATCTGTGAACAAATTGGGAAACTTGATGAAAATTTATGGCGACAATGAAGGGACGTGTGAGAAATTTGTCTGAAAGTAGACAGCGAGAGGGATTGGAAAATTAAATTCGATTCTTTTTAAACAAATGATAAATTTTGACGTTACAAACTGGCAGTGTGTGGAAAGCAATTTCAAACATGCTGACGACTGTCGGTATCACGGAAAATTCTTGAATTTTTATATGTTCTTTTTTAATTAAAAAAATTAAAAAATAACTACGTTAGAATAAAAGAAAAATTTGAAATAGATCCAATTTTAAGTTAATTTGAACCCATATCAAAAGACCTCTAGATAAAATAACTGCGATCACAACTGATCACGGTCTTTTTTTGGCTCATGATGTACAAACAAAAAATGTGTGAAAGTAAAATAAATGTGTTAATTTTTAAAAATTGTTTCCATTCACACATTGTTTTATCCATATCTATCATTTTATTTATTTGATTTGATGATTGAAAGTAAAAATTATGTATAAAGAGTAAAAAAAAGTACATGAATGTATTGTAATATTCTATTAAACAACACAATTTGTTAATCCTTTTATAAAAATGATTAATCAGTCAAATATTGTTTAATCATCATTAAATTGATGTTTGACTACAAAAGAAAATGATAAGTACATGTCACGATTAAATAGTTTTCATGTTTAATGTGTTAAGAATGACGTATTTCACTGCAATGGTTAAAATCTTAAAAATAAACACTTTAATGTGGTTCAAATTTTTACGGACTCCTTCACCTAACAACTAATAATTTAATCCACTAATGATATCGTTTGTAAGAAGCAATTTTTACAATTTATATTTTGATTTACATTTTTGTTCATTTTTAAGAAAATAGTTGTAATAAAACTGTCTTGTTTTCAAAGAAGAAAGTAGTTAGAACTCCAATATTTTCAAAAAAATTAGTTTAGTTTGATCCTATGTAAAGTTATAAATCATGTTGTTGGTATTCTATTATAGAAAAACAGATTGTTCGTTAAGTACGAATTTATTATATGACATATAAAAATGTGATTGTTTACGCTCTAATAAAATATACTTGTATTGAAAATTTGAGATAGGTAAAACTTAAACCATCATAACATTTGCATGATCACAAACTAAGCGACGGCAACTACGAGAGAAGGCGTGAGCAAATGCAAGAGAGATAGCGCGTATGTGTGGGGAGATAGGAGAAGAGAAACACGAAACCGTGAGAGAATAATATGAGTTCTTTTTGGACCATGTTACAAAAAAGACCTTTAACTTAGTTAAAAAGAATTGAACTCTAATTCCTGAATCGTCTAGACACCGCCTAGACATCACTTAGCCCCCACCCGATTTTTCTCTATGTTTTGGCCTTAATTCCATTGGTCCTCCAACGCCTAGCACTTAGGTCGATTTTTAGAATAATGACTGTACATAATGCTTGCCATCACAAACAGTCATTAACTTTATAACCCCGACTGTGCGTCCAAAAATAACGTCAGTCACATATCCAAACTATAAATATGCGCTTTTAAGTTTCTGGCTGCATTTTAGATCTGGGATATTGGGTTCGATGCCAATGTCTTATGACGACGTCCAAGCTCAACACCAATAATGAACTTTGAACCATCCTAATTTGGGAGCATACGAGTCATGTGTTTGAACTGGGACATCGAGTTCCAAACTAAATTTGCCATGAACCCTGAGCTGTGGTCTATGTTCAAGAAGAGAACGGACTCATCTGACTTTGTTTATGTAAAAAAAAAACACTTTAAACTCCTCTACGTATAAGTGCTTCTAATAAATATGGTAAATTACACTTTACTACTTCAGGTTTGGGGTCTATTACAACCTCATATATCTTTAAAACATTTTACTTTCATTCCATACATCAATTACATATTTCATCCATTGATCCGTTAAGAGCTGATGTGGTTGTCACATTTGTGCCACGTGTCAATTTTTTTTTTTTTATACATTAAAAATATTATAATATTGATCCTATTTAAAATTAAATTAAATTAAATTAAAAAATTTAAAAAAAAACCTAGAAACCCATTTCCTCCCGACCCCCACCTTTCTCTCCACCACTCTCTTCACCTCCCCTCCATATACTCAAAACAACTCTGAGGACTCAAAGAACCTTGTTGCTGATCTTAACCCATTCCAAATAAAAGGACCTAGGAAAGCTTCTATGTATAACAAACCTACGCAGCTTTCTCGACAACCTCCCACGGCCACTCGAGCTTGGACACAGCGGCTTTGAGCTTGGGCCTCTTTCGAATGTCGTAGATTTGGAGAACGAGAGGCCTGCATTTGGGAAACGAATTAGGAATTGAGTGGAGAAACAGGGGGAAATTGGAGAATTGAAATTAGGGTTTACAGAGATTGGAACAGAGGAAGAAGATGGCGGGAAGTGAGGGCAGCAGAGTCGGCAAGTAAGATGGCAGAGGTGGGGGTGGGTTTTTGGATGGGAGGTGAAGATAATGGAGGTTTGGGGGGGGGGGGTTGGGGGTTGTTGGGGAGATGGGGGAATGGGTTTCTAGGTTTCAGTTTGGTTTTTTTTTTTTTTTTTAAAAATAGGGTTAATATTATAATATTTTAAATGTCTAAAAAATTATTTTTTTTGCCACGTGACACAAATTTGGCAGCCACGTTGCATAAATGTGGCAGCCACGTCAACTCCTAACGGATCAATAGATGAAAAATGTAACGGATGTATTATATTGAAATAAAATAATACGTGAGGTATAAAAGTGAAATTTTTGAAGATGTTATATGAGGTTGCAATAAACCTCAAACTTAAGGTGGTAAAGTGTAATTTACCCTAATAAATATTACTTAGGCATTATTTGAAAAATGCTTTTAAATGACTGAATGTGTATTTAGAGAATATGTTTTTGAAATCAATTCTTAGTAAAAATGAAAATTAATCTTGGAAAAGCACTTGCAATGCTTTTTGCAAGAAGTATATTACAGAAAACACTTCGAGTGCTTTTGAAGCAAAAAAACATTGTTTTTAAAAACGTTTCAATCGTTTAAAATTACTTTCTAAAATGAATCATTATGGCTCGTTTGAATTTGCTTTTAAAATGACTGAAAGCGCCTTTGGAGAAAATGTTTTTGCTTTTCAAAATCACTTAAGGTGCTTCTTGTAAGAAACACTAGTTATGTTCTTCTATAGGAAGCACTTCAAGTGCTTTTGCAGGATTTAATCGTATTTTTACTAAGGATTCTCAACATTTTCCCCAAAATACTCTTAGCCATTTCAAATTCGCATTTGGTGAAGATCGAATCTAAGACTTTTCACTTACAAATAAAAAGAAATATCACTAAACCGTAATACTAAGCGGCAACGAACTCATAAATAGATGGTAAGTATTTTTAGTCTTTTTAAAAACGCATCTAGACAATCTTTACAATCACATGCCAAACGGGCCATAGTTTTGTAAAATTGAAATCACCTTTAAAAATCACATGCCAAATGGGCCCTACATTTTGTGGTACTGGGCCTCTTCCGGTCTTGCAGATGTGTACTTTCCACAAACATGGCCCATCATCGAACGGTTCCTTCCACGCCTCCACTGCTCGCGTCACTCTCCAGCAGCAGCACAGAAGACGAAGAAAAGAGAGAGAGAAGCTGACTGGAAGCAGAAGCAGCACCGTCTGGTAACCTTAACCTTAACGTCGCCTCTTTCTCTCCAACGCCGTTCGAAACTTCGTCGTACTAGGCTCAGCTCGAAATGGCCCCTCATTCGGAGTTCACCGACGGAACCCAAGCGCCCAACTCCCTCCAGGCCATCTGCTACAAGCGCGGCTCCCTTCAGCTACTCGATCAGGTCTCTCTCTCTAACAATTCAATTGAATTTATTTGAATTACATTTTTATCGAATTTAGCTATCTCAGTAAAAAAATGGTAGAATTAACTATTAGGTTTGTGGGTTTTGGACAGACGAAGCTCCCATTGCAAAGTACATATTTGGATATCCGGGACTCCACGGATGGATGGTAAAAGATTGAAGCTTTGCTCTTTCCAAGTGCTGTGAACTCTCTACTTTTCCGATTTTACCAATTGGGTCATTGTTTTTTATTTATTTTTTTTTTTTTTCAGGCACGCAATCAAAGACATGGTGGTGCGCGGTGCACCCGCCATTGCCATTGCCGCGGCTCTCTCATTGGCCGTGGAAATTTTCAACTTGGAGGATTTCAATGGAACGCCTGACGAAGCGTTTTCTTTCATTGTCATGAAATTGGAGTACCTTGTCTCCAGGTTAGCATGTTAATTGTAGTTTTCAAGTGTTTGAGTTGTGGTGATGAGATGGCATTGTGATTGTGTGGTGTGTTTTTCAGCCGGCCAACTGCTGTCAATCTTTCGGATGCTGCAGCTAAACTAAAGCAGATTGCATCCGCGGTTGCCACTAATACTTCGGACGCAAGGAATGTGTTTGAGGTGCTCCTTCCTTTGAAACTTTACTTTTCTTGTGATTTGATTTTGGCCCTAAGAATCTATTTGATAGTAATAGTCTTCCATTGTACTTGCCTTGTTTGTTCATTTTTATAGGCTTACATAGAAGCTTCTGAAATCATGCTCAAGGACGATGTCGCTTCAAACAAGGCTATTGGATCTCATGGAGCAAGTTTTATTCAGCACCTACTGGGAAACTCTAAGAACATTTTTATGTTGACCCATTGCAACACTGGCAGGTATTTTCCCGGGAACGCATACTTGATGATTTTGGTCATGTACATTATGTGGTTGCCCCTATGGATTTGTGTAGGTTGCGCATGGTGAAGGGTGGTTTTACTTATATAGACTGAAATTTTCTTATTGGTCTTGTCTGACTCTGATATGTTTGGTAAATGTAGTCTTGCAACTGCTGGTTATGGTACTGCTCTTGGTGTCATCCGTTCACTTCATACTGAAGGAGTGTTAGAAAGGGCCTATTGTACAGAGACGCGTCCATTCAACCAAGTGAGTGTCTACTCTTTAGTTGATCAAGTTTTTTACTTAGCATCAAATGTCCTCCACAGATATTCACATATGTAACATGTTGGTATTAGTTAAGCAAAAGTGGTCTTGAGAGGATTAGCACGCTGTTTGAAGTCGGGTGAAACTATCTTGGGATATACTATTGCATCCAAACTTGATTGGAAGCCTGCCTTGGTGTTATTTATATATTGTCTGTGGTGTAATTGCAGGTCATTGAGCCGATTGTTGTATTTTGCCACTCACTTGGGTAAAAGTATTCAAAATTAATTGAGTACTATTGATACATGATTGTATACTGGCTGCAGGGATCCAGACTCACAGCATTTGAGTTGGTGCATGATAAAATACCTGCTACGCTTATAGCAGACTCGGCTGCAGCTGCATTAATGAAATTTGGGCGTGTCAATGCTGTAGTTGTTGGAGCAGATCGCGTGGCTGCAAATGGTATTTGAAATGAAATCTACCACTCATCTGCTTTAGCATTCTATTAATATGGATTTTTGTCTAATTGATTTCCTTTTTACTTAATTCAGGTGACACTGCAAACAAGATTGGGACCTACAATCTTGCCGTGAGTGCAAAGCACCATAACATTCCATTTTTTGTGGCTGCACCACTCACTTCTGTCGACTTATCTCTTTCTTCTGGAGAAGAGATAATAATAGAGGAAAGATCTCCGAAGGAATTGTTGAACACACACGGAGGACTCGGGGAACAAGTTGCTGCATCTGGAATCTCTGTCTGGAACCCAGCTTTCGATGTTACCCCTGCCAATTTAGTAACCGGTATCATAACCGAGAAGGTATTCTCACTCATTCTTTATGTGGTATAATCAACTAGAGCTTGTTGTGTTTGAATCTGATGGCATTTTGTTCTCTAAGCAGGGCGTTGTTACAAAAAAGGGCACTGACGCTTTCGACATAAAGGGTTTTGTTCAGAAGGAAGCCGTGCAGGCCAGTGCATAAGACGAAGGCTTCCAGCATTGGATGAAATATACCCGGAGGAGGTGATTGTTCGTGCCGTGTAACTTAATATGAAGAGAGCTATGTGCTATATATGTCAAATAATTGGGAGAATCAGTCTTACCCCAAGTGATGACTGTTTTCTCAAAATGTAAGCAGGCCATTTTTATGGTATTATTGGTGGACGTAAAAAGTACAAATTTAATAATAGGGTGAACTCTCAATTTAGTTCCTGAATTATCATCTCATTGAAAATTAGGTCCGTAAACTATTTTTTCAGAAAAATTAATCCTTAAATTATAAAAATCTGCCAATTACTTCCCTAATATTATATTCAAAGCTACCATATTCAATTTTCTGTCAATTTAAGTCACGTTACTTGTATGTGATACACATTGGATGATAGATTAGTAGTTTTTCATAAAGAAATAGTGTATAAAGTTAGCTTTGAAGGGTAAATTGATAGTTTTACATAATAAATAGTGTAAGTTAAATTTGGAGGGTAAATTAGATGTTAAATTCGCAACCTATATGAAATGTAAAAGGCTTATAGGCGGGAAAATGACGATAGTACGTTTTAAAGTATGTCAAGTGACTTAAGTTAAAGAAAAATTAGATAAAATAACTTTGAATATAATAGTATGGATGAAATTAGTAATTTTTAATGAATTTAGGGACTTATTTTACCAAAAAAATAATTTAGGGATCTAATTTTCACTGAGGTGATAAATGATAATTCAAAGACTAAATCGGCACTTCACCCTTAATAATAAATAAGGAAGTAGCTGGGGAGATTTGGAGGAAAATTCATAGTCTTGTTGGAATCTTGGGACTTCATCCATGGAATGTGAATGTTCTCTCTCCCGGAAAGTTTATGCTAATATGTATGGGCTTCGAATGGGATGTTTGTAGGGCATTCATAATTTCATCAGTCACAAGTTTCCAGGGATTAATGGCCAGCCTTAAATGTGGAAGTGGTCAAATTTTTGTTACATAAGTTGATTAAAATGATTAAGGGGTGAACAAAATGTAAACAAATTGACACTCACACTGGACTTGGGAGTGTAAGACCATATAATATAGAGGGTACATATTTTTACTTCTTGCACACTCCTTTCAATTTTCAACCGTCGAATCGAATGAATTGAAGAAGGTTAATGGCAAAAAATTAACAAGAATGTGTGGAAAGTAAAATAGATAAGTGAATAGCACTATTCTTATGTCAAATATTCTGTGTAGTGCCATTTGGGACAAAAAAAAAAAAAAAGCAATATTTCTTCGCGAAATGTTATAAGCTGACAGGATTGACTGCATTGCCTTCAACTGTCCTTTTTGGCAGCACAAGGCCCGGAACAGCCAAATGCTTATATTTTTTTTAATGCATGGGTTCCACTACCAAGCAACAATATGTAAATTAAAATCATTTTTAATTATTATTTAGTAGTTATTGTACTCATGAGGCCCAATATATTATTAAAAAAAATATTTAACACATTCATTAGATGGAAGAAAAAATTTCATCTATATTAATTGGTCATATCAGCTATCATATAAATTTTGAGAATAACTATTTGACATGTTCATTGAAGATGATCAAAGAGGAGATGCACTTAGCTACTTTAGGTACAAGTACGGGCAGAACCACCCACCCAATCCAAGTACTTGGACTAGAGTAAGCTTCAAGCCTTCAAGCCAGTCATGGTACTTGGACAAACAAATTTAGTGAGTCACCCACACATAATGATTAGAGGAAAAGAACATTATAGCCCGTCGGTTTGAAACTTTTTGATTCCGCCTTGAATACAAATCCTATGTAAGTCTAAGGTGAAGTTAGGTTAAGATTCACGCCATTCAGTAATTAACGTGACATGAGTGTAAATGACTGATTTTGGGTCATATTGAAATTGTTAATAGGTTGTTAATTGGCCCCGAACTCCGGTTCAGCCCAACAATCAGGCTCATACTATCGACCTCTTTGTCTCTCTCCTCCTGCTAAAATTTCGCTTCACGAGTCACAACCAGCTTCTTTTGTAATCTATGAATTGCAGAGAGAGATTCTTCATCTGATACAAGTATCCAAGCAATTGGCTTTTCCAAAGGTTAACGGCTAGCAGTTCCTCGGCTTTCAATTTGGTGGTGTTTGGATACGCGAATAACCGAGCAAGTGACAAAAAAAATGAAGAAATCGCCATTGCCATTGCAGAATGCAAGCGGCAGCAGCAAAAATCAGAGTCTGGGAGAGGAAGCTCTGGTGAAGTTGTTGACAGAATAAGATGTAGCATCTTACCTACCTGCAAATAAATTTCCAAAACACTCAAATTTCAGCTTGAAAATCAAAAGGAATAATCTGCGAAGAGACCCAAATCGATAGGAAAAATTTACTCAAACTTGCAGATTGATTCTTGCTTTATTTGTTTTGCAATGTGGCGATTTAAATTAAAAATCGGTTAAATTCGAGGAAAACGTGGTAGAAGAAAACTGTTAACGTTACCTAGTTGTGAGGCTTTTAAAATAAATAAACAAACAAAAATTAGTTTATGCAAAATTACTTTAATACAATATCTAAAGACGACAACAAACTCTTTTTTTTTTTTTTTAAGTACACCGACAACAAACTTTTAATTACCTTAGACAATAGTGGGGCAAAATGTAATTGCCAAATAAAATTTCGTTTTGGAAGTAACTTCAATGAAACTTATGTGTATATATTATTACTGCAAACGATTCTCTATATTAACAACAGATTAACCACTTAACCAATGGAAAGAAACACAAAATATCAAAAGCATATTATCCATTATTGAAAATAGACCATACATATATACATACATGACCACTATACATGGTGATGATCGAGAAGACAAGGTTTATGTAAACAGATATGTAAGGATCAAATACAACATATGTATATATATCGTTATATACATAGGTGCAAGTGTGTGTCTATATATATATATATATATATATAGCTTGTAAGGCTTTGATATCATGCTTGACAACATATATCAAGCTTTATTTTAATCAGAGTGCTAATTGATCATCCATCAGATCGACTTTGGAACCCAGACAATATGATCATTGGGAAGGAAATGGCAAATGGGAATGGTTCCAGGCTTAACTTTGAGCACTTGGAAGGCCAAAGTCTTAGGGTTCCATTCAGATGTATCGATATGGCATTCTGCTACTGCTTTAGCCTTCACCCCATCGGCACCAACAAGGGGCACTATATAAGCTCTTGTTTGTTTTATTGCATGGCAATAAAACACAGCGTAAGGATAGTTCTGCTTGTGACACACGACGGCTTTTTCGCCTTCCAACTTCTTCACTCCAGGCATTATTGTGTACTTGTGCATAAACATGGCTGCTTCTTTTTCCTTCTCTATCGATACCAAGGCTTCAACACTTGTTCCAAGCTTGGAGGTGGTGAAATCAATCATTGATTCTAAGGACGTTGCGCAATATTTTTCCTCTCCCTGAAAGCCTGGCGCTTCACAATCTTGGATTGTTTCCTTGATCGTGTTAGCTTGCACAGATGATGGTTCAAGTGAGAAGTGCTTAAGGATTTCTGGGAGTTTGGTAGATGAGAAGGGGATCGATTCGGCAGTTCTGCGCGGCAGGAAAGTGGCTGTGTTTGTATTTCTAGCGAAGGGCCAATTCATTGTTGTGCCAGGACGTATGTTCTTTTCCAAGAAGAGTAGAGCTGCCGCGTTTGGGAGTTGATGGTTATCTGTGGCCTGCCGCCAAATTATAGGATAGTTTGCCTTGTTGGCACCTAGGTTCCCTACTTCAACTGAGGTGCTCTTATCTTCAGTAACGGATTCTGCAAATTAATGTAGCTATGTCATAATGGATTTGAATATATAATTGATCTCTATTAATTTGTCACATTTGTAATTAAGTTACTGTTTAATATTAAAAGATGTAAAATGTAATTTACCACATCTATAGAGAATTCATGTACCACACACGGAGCTTTGTGGAGGTATGCGGAGCGGGATAGGGGTATTCAATCAAGTACTTTACGTGTCATAAATAAGTAAAAATATATGAAAAAATAGAATATTTTCTCCACTTGCATTATGATATGTGCAGTACTGCTTGATAATGGTGGAACCACATAGAGGCCAGGATAAGGCTAGGCCCGTCTTGAAATTTCACCAATATATATAGGGGTGTGAATCCACACACTCTATTTTACTTCTCACACACCTTTTCAATTTTCGGCCGTAGGATCGGATGAATTGAAAAAGATCAACGGACAGAAATTATCAAGAGTGTGTGAGAAGTAAAATGAAGCGTGTGGATAGCACACCTCTATATATATTGTCTGATTGTTTTAACCATAAAGAGCATGTGGTCTATTGGCGAGCAAATCTTGACAATTTTTAAGGAATGATGGATTTGAAACTTGGTGGAGCCAACAACCCTTCTACAATTTAGAAGAAGATCCAATCATGTTGAAAGGAAAATTTCATACGAATAGTTTTGATGCTTGACCTTAAATTTTTGTTCAACCCTTAATCCTTTTTTTTTTTAATCAAAACTCATAAAGAAATTATGTTCTTATGATATAATCTTCTCAATACCAAATTTTTCATACAAATTTTAAAGCTCTATATATCACATTTGTTTGATTAAAATTTTCCATGTCAATAAAAACATTTAGTTTTTCTCTAATTAATTATATTGCTATATTTTGTCTAATTTCTTTCATATGGCTTAAGGACCCCTCCCATAATTGATTTCTAGCTCCACCTGCCGCTTAATACCTGATACTTAGAAAAATCTCTCCCCACATAACCCTTTGCTTGATTTTAGGGTTTGTATGGTTTTGGACCCCACAAGCAAGGTTTCATCTCACCATCTTAATTTTCATCTAACAATGCGCTTTAAATATTTGAGTTACAAGATTTCAGTCTAATAATTGAATTTGATTAGAGACTGAAACTAAAATGACCTATTTAAATAAATTTTGAAAATTGGGAATTGGCAGTGGGCTACCAGAGCATGTAGAGCCTTTAGAGCATCTTCAAAGAAGATATCAAAACTACCACGTAGACATACAACAGTAAAAAATGGCAGCAAACTCTCTCCAATCGAACCTTCAATTTTTTACGTGGCGTTGAGTCATTTGAAAGCAAAGCTTTTGCTGTCAAATTCATTAAATGATGGTTTAATAGATTAATATAATATATAATAAATATTGTTTTGTTTTACAAATATTTGATTGGTTGCCTTAATCATTGGAATACACAAAAAGATAAAAAATAATAATTAAATGACATTATTATTTAACATATCGGATAGAGCAAAATATTGTACAAAATATCAAATTAACACATAAGCCATCAAATATCATTTTGATGTTTAAAATTTAGCATCTTCTTTGAAGATGCTCTTAGCTTCAGGTTTTGAGGATGAATGTTTCATTTCCTTTATCGTTCTACTCCGAGGAAACTAAATTAATTATATTTCTTGTCCCAAAAAAAAAAAAAAATTAATTATAGTTCAAAATTAAATTAATTTAATAAAAGGACCAGTAAGGTTGAAGGTAGAGGAGGAGCTCTCTTGCTAATTAAGATACTAAGGATTCTTAATACAAACCAGCTGGTTGGAGAAGTTCACTGATAGCTTTCGGCATTTGTGTGTTTGGTAGGACGGAGTTCCAGTAAAGTTGAGCTACTGGAAGAGCAGCATGGCTTGCCAATGCCACCACTGCCAGCTGCAACATTAATTTGAAGTCTCATAAGCATGTTTGAGATCACAAAATGCAAGACTGATTAACTTGTAGACAATGTTTTACTGATTAAAATCAGAGTTAATTAATTAAATAAACAAACACAATATTTTCCAGGTACGATGTTACACTGGAAACATCAATTATTTCAGAGAGCTTACGGTGAGAAGAGCGAAGATGTGCCCGAGATGGAACCCCATTGAGACTGAAATTTTGTAACAGAAAACTAAGAGCTGATGGATCTTAACTCTTTGGTAACAACACCTACTTGCTTCATTATTTTATAGACGCATTTGTCGCCTAGATGATCGCAAGTTGATAGGTCTACTATTGTCCCCAGCCACAGGTGCCTTGCTGAGCGAAAATTTTTAGGTGTACCGGGTACACCAAATTTTTTTGGTGTACCCTCACTCATTAGAATTTTTTTGGTGTACAAAAAGTGAGGGTGCACCAAATTTTTTTGGTGCACCCTCACCATTATGAGTGAGGGTACACCAAATTTTTTTGGTGTGCCGGGTACACCGAAAAATCCCTCCTTGCTGAGGTCAGTTTGTTGTTGATTGCCGATGTAAGGCATCTACATCATCTCTCCATTTGCCGACTCATGTGTACAGATAAGGTGGATTTGGATCCCACGCGGATTCAGATTGTAGGAATCATATGGATCTTCACATTCTAACAGTTTATCGTACATTGTGCAGCTAAAAGTTATTTAAAATTAAACATAAATAATACCTAACGAAAACTGACCGCACAATGTACGATGAATGATTAGAATATGAGGATCCGTAGAATTCCCACAAAGAGGATTCAAAGAGAATTCTCATCTGAGATAAGGTATACTTATTGGAAGATTATAAACCCACATCTTTTAGTTTTCTTATTCATTCATTTTCAATTATGTTAGTAGTTATTGTTGATTTATTTAATTCGATAGTTAGAAATAAAGAGAACTACTTATATAATACAAGTACACAATCAAATGGCATATCGTGCCAGGAAAACAAGGATATATGGATAAAAAAAAATTCAAAATATCTTTATTTCATTGGAAAACAAAGCTATTGAACGGTAAATCCGTATCATGTAAGTCTTTGAAAATATAGAAAAATGTTAAAAAGCTAAATATAATGTATGAAAATTCGCTCGCTAATTCTTCTTTGAAAGTAATTTTACTATAAATATACAGAACTATTATTAACAATTTAAAATTTTAATTGTACACTTTTTATAATAGTATTTTTATTTTTAAATATAAAAATTTTAAAGTGCACAATTAAATTTGTCAGAAGGCTTGGAACAATTTCTAAATAATCGTTTTATATAAAAATATCTAAAAAAGCTGCAATAGTACAACAACACGTACCCATGTGGAGCTTCACTTCATGGCCTCTGGCCCGTCTTGAGGACTACTCAATCAACATGGGTGAATAAAGCACACAGATTCAAGTTCCATTATTGCAGCTCCGACAGCAACAGAGGTAACTTTGCGGAGATTGGCTGCCGACGTTATTGTGGGGATATTTAAATCCTAAAACATTATTGCATTTGCGCTATTAGAATATAGTTTTGCTAGATGCAAATTTCCGTCATATTCTCTTTTCATAAAATACACCTGTAAAATAATAATATTTAAAATTAAGGTCAAAAACCTCACACGCGGACGATGAATTGGGAGCTTTGGCTGGAAAATCTCTAATGTCGAAATTAGAATTTTGAAAAGAATGTATTTTGAAGTTTGTGGGTAGCAAATGCTTAACATTTTAGTAGGATAAGTGGGGTAATTAGGCCATCTTCAATTGAGGCAGCCAAAGGGCTATGGGCAAAAACATAACCTGTTTTGACACAAAACCCATCTCCAATGGAGGGCTAGGCCAAAAATTTTTGGGACCCACCTGACCAAAAGATAACTAAATGATCAGAGGGCTGGACAAACACAACCAGCCAGTCAACCCTGAAAGTTAGGCCCAGCTGATGTCATTTTTGCATTTTTTTTTAAGACGAAATGAAATTTTTTACATTTTTTTTTTTAAATTCTAATTTTTTCCAATAAATACCTAAGTCATTTCTACACAATTTCTCACATTCTTTTCACTCTTCCATACTATATTACCTCATTTTAATGTCTAAGTTGTTAACATGCAAATAAAATTAAAATATTTAATAACATGAAACTTAAAACAATATTTAGCAACAAATGACTCTCAAAATATGTTCGAAAACCTTATTTTAATAGAGTAGTTTAATTCAATTAATCGATAAAATTAAAAAATAAACTTAAAATAATAAATTATTGAGGGGATAAAAAATAGCCCTCTTTCGTTTCAGATTTATATAGATATGGCATGGCACATTTTATATGTTGACCCATTGCAACAGTAGCAGGTATTTTTCCCGAGAACGCATACTTGATGATTTGGTCATTTGCATTATGCGGTTGCCCCTATGGGTTTGTCGTTTGTGTAGGTGGCTCATGTGCCACTTGTGAAGGGTGGTTTTATATTCGGATAATGTTAGGAATATTAAATTTAGAGATAAAATTTGCATACCAAATGAGGCGTTACCAATAAGAATGAGCACGTTTATCAATGCTTAAATAATAAACCAATTATCAACTTCACATCTTTTAGTTTCCAAAATTTTGTCTCCCTAATATTACCCTTTATATTTATAGACTGAAAATTTTATATTGGCCTTGTCTGACTCTGATATGTTTTGTAAATGTAGTCTTGCAACAGCTGGTTATGGTACTACTCTCGGTGTCATCCGTTCACTTCATACTTAAAGGAGTGTTAGAAAGGGCGTATTGTACATAGACGCGCCCATTCAACCAAGTGAGTGTCTTGGTGAAAGTATCATTGGGGATGTAGTATTGCATCCAAACTATATTGGAAGCCTGCCTTGGTGTTATTTATATATTGTCTGTGGTGTAAATTTCAGGTCATTGAGATGATTGTTGTAGTTAGCCACTCACATGGGTAAAAGTATTCAAATGCGTTAATGAGTATTATTTATACAATATTATATACCGACTGCAGGGATCCAGACTCACAGCATTTGAGTTGGTGCATGATAACATACCTGCTACTCTTATAGCAGACTCGGCTGCAGCTGCATTAATGAAATTTGGACGCGTCAATGCTGTAGTTGTTGGAGCAGATCGCGTGGCTGCAAATGGAATTTGAAATGAAATCTGCCACTCATCTGCTTTAGCATTCTATTAATACGGATTTTTGTCTAATTGATTTCCTTTTTACTTAATTCAGGTGACACTGCAAACAAGATTGGGACCTACAATCTTGCCGTGAGTGCAAAGCACCATAGCATTCCATTTTTTGTGGCTGCACCACTCACTTCCCGTCGACTTACATAGAAGCTTACATAGAAGGGGATTGATTCAGCAGTTCTGCGCGGCAGGAAAGTGGCTGTGTTTGTATTTCTAGCGAAGGGCTAGTTCATTGTTGTGCCAGGACGTATATTCTTTTCCAAGAAGACGAGCTGCCGCATTTGGGTCTGCACGGAGTTGATGGTTCTCTGTGGCCTGCTGCCACGTTATAAAAGTGCGTGAGTGCAAAGCACCATAACATTCCATTTTTTGTGGCTGTTCCACTCACTTCCGTCGACTTATCTCTTTCTTCTGGAGAAGAGAGAATAATAGATGAAAGATCTCCAAAGGAATTGTTGAACACACACGGAGGACTTGGGGAACAATTTGCTGCATCCGGAATCTCTGTCTGGAACCCAGCTTTCGATGTTACCCCTGCCAATTTAATAACTGGTATAATCAATTAGAGCTTGTTGTGTTTGAATCTGATGGCAATTTGTTCTCTAAGCAGGGCGTTATTACAAAAAAGGGCACTGACGCTTTCGACATAAAGGGTTTTGTTCAGAAGGAAGCCGTGCAGGCCAGTGCATAAAACGAAGGCTTCCAGCATTGGATGAAATATACCCGGAGGAGGTGATTGTTCGTGCCGTGTAACTTAATATGAAGAGAGCTATGCGCTATATATGTCAAATAATTGGGAGAATCAGTCTCACCCCAAGTGATGACTGTTTTCCCAAAATGTAAGCAGGTCATTTTTATGGTATTATTGGTGGATGTAATAAGTACAAATTTAATAATAAATAAGGAAGTAGCTGGGAAGATTTGGAGGAAAATTCATGGCCTTGTTGGAATCTTGGGACTTCATCCATGGAATGTGAATGTTCTCTCTCGATTCGTCCTCGGCTGACCGGAAAGTTTATGCTAATATGTATGGGCTTCGAATGGGATGTTTGTGGGGCATTCATAATTTCATCAGTCACAAGTTTCCAGGGATTAATGGCCAACCCTAAATGTGGAAGTGGTCACATTTTTGTTACATAAGTTGACTAGAATGATTAAAGGGTGAACAAAATGTAAACAAATTGATGCTCACACCGGACTTGGAGTGTAAGACCAGTATAATATAGAGGGTATCTATTTTTACTTTTCGCACTATCCCTCTCAATTTTCAGTCGTCAAATTGAATGAATTGAAGAAGATCAATGACAAAAAATTAATAAGATGTGTGGAGTAATAGATGAGTGAATAGCACTATTCTTATGTCAAATGTGTTGTGTGGTGCCATTTGGGACAAAAAAAGCAAATTTCTTCTGAGCAAAATGTTATAAGAGCATCTCCAAATGAGATGTCAAATTTTAATGGCTTATGTGGCAATTTGACATTTTGTACAATATTTTGTTTACACCTGATATGTTAAATACTAATGTCATTTAATAAATATGCTGTCAAATTTGACAGTAAAAGGCTTTACCTTCAAATGACTTAGCGCCATGTAAGAAATTGAAGCCTTGGTTTAAGAGAATTTGTTGCTATTTATTACCTGTTGTATATCTACCAATGTTCTAAAAAACAGCCTAGATGGCCATCTAGGTGCTAGGCGGGTTGGAACAGAGGCAATTTCGTGCAAAACGGCTGGAAAAATTGGGGTGGCTCTAGGCGGCTGGGCCCTTTTTTTGGTGGAGGTGGATTGTCTGCCCTCCCATTTCCATACTCTCCCCATGCCTCTTATTTGTGTGGTCACGATTAAGCCACATCAACATTTTATATTTCTAATACTTTTTGTTTTATTATTTCTATAAAAAATTAATATAAAATATTGATATGACTTAACCGTGATCACACATCACAGGAAGGTATGAAAAGAGTATGAAAATGGGAGTGCAGACAATCCACCTCCTTTTTTGGCAGCACAAGGCCCAGAACAGCCAAATGCTCTAAGCTGACTGG